CAATAAAAAATAGGCGAGATAGGTTGGTAGGACACCTTCTCAGGCATGAAGGTCTAGTCAGAGACATATTAGAGGCAGAAACAGGAGTTAGGAGGGGTAGAGGTAGACCTAGATTAGATTACTGTTCGCAAATAGTTAAGGATATGTGGGCTGTTCTAGTTTTAGGGAAATGCAAAGTTTAGATCAGGATAGGAAAGAGGGACATGTCCAACCAGTCTTAGGACTGACGACCTTATGATGATGATGATGATGATGATACACAAGACAATTTTATATTTCATTTCTGAAGCTGTTTAGTTTCATCAAGCGACAATTAATTGGCAAAGATACAAGATAACGGAAACAACAACCGAGAAATGTTCTTTTCTCAAAGCGGTATCCATATACTTGGGATGGTTTATATAGATAGCAACGTAGGTTGAAGAAATAACGTGCTGTCCGGTGGTAGGGAGTGTAACCAACATTGTACAGTAGCTGATGCAATAAATCCGATCCAACTTTGTTATCTGGTCCGTACGAGACCAATTGGTTAGAATGCCCCATTAGCGGCTGCTGCTGCTTGGGACATCGCGCGTTTCGAGATAAGAAGCGGCCGCCGCCAGACACTTTTATGTCAAGGAATTTCATCCAAGGACAATGTTCTCGTTTTTCGGGTTCTTTTGAAATAAGCGATATTAATTTGTAAGAAACAGTAAAAATTCAACAATCTAAAGGGAAATTACATAATTAAGGCAGTCTCTATCAGGTCTTTTCCAACTCATGGAACTATACAATCGTCCCCGTATTCCAATTTGAATTTGTGTTCATGATATGAAATGTATTTTTGCGAAATCAGAGGAAAGGACTAATTTTCAAATTTGGAATTGAATTATTATTTTTTTGGCTTCAAAATTGCACTTTTAATTTAAAATAATAAATTTTTCAGTCCTAAGCTGATGTGAATAAGTATGCGGAACTTTCCTAATTGCGGATGTAGACGCAGAAGTCTGTTGCAATTTCAATGTCATCATCTAAACATGCTTTAGGTACTGCTATTGTTATCGGTATCTTTTTTGTAAAATAACTGCAAAAGTGTTGAATTTCCTATGTATAGTTACTTCTTCTTCATTAATGTACCTAATAAATAATTAATATATTTATGACGAATATTTGAAACAAAAGAGTATTCACCTTTTCGTAGGGGTCAACTAGAACTGCAGTAATATACATAAATTAATTAATTAATTAGGATGGTAATGTGTTTTCTGGTTTTATTCTAAAACGTTGACGATTTACCCGTCT